TGGACAGAAGATGCTCAATCTCTGCAATCTGGAAGTCTGAGAATATGGATCCAAGGTATGCAGAGCGGGGAAAGTTTAATGTGTCCCCAGTCTTTGTTTTAAAAATGACTTTCCTATGCCCCAGGGAAGACAGAAAGCAAAGGAGGAACAATGAAGGTACTGTTGCTTTGTTTTCCCAGTCAATTAATGCCTGAACCAAGTTCAGTTAAGATAAGATGCAGCAAGGCATGGTTATAGAATTGTATTAAGGCACTTCATTCAGTGGTAGGTTTCAAAAATTTTTACTACCGGTTCTGTGGGTGTCGCTTGGTGGACGTGGCATGGCTTGGTGGGCGTGGCAGGGGAAGGATACTGTAAAATCTCCATTCCCACCCCACTCTAGAGGAAGGATACTGTAAAATCTCCATTCCCTCCCCAATCCAGGGGAAGATTACTGCAAAATCCCCATTTCCTTCTGATCAGCTGGGACTTGGGAGGCAAAGAATAGATGGGGGCGGAGCCAGTCAGAATTTTTACTACCGGTTCTCCAAACTAGTCAAAATTTCCGCTACTGGTTCTCCAGAGCTGGTCAGAACCTGCTGAAACTCACCTCTGACTTCACCTTGAATACAATTTCAACCATGGTTTACACATTCACTCAATAAGGCTTAGTGTATTGGAGAAATTAGTCCAAAGGAACTTGAGCAAAATAGCAGACCGAATTCAACTACAATACTTCATACAAATTATGCATAGGTATAAACATGGACCACAAGGGTGCTCCTACTGCCATACTTTGCTTATAAATCAGGAGGATGTAAGTCTTAGGTTGCCTGGAGTCTTGGCATCTACTGACTCTTTTCCTAAGAGTCAGCCATCTCTTATTGATACATTCATGTCTTCCCTAGTTGTTCCTGCAAAATGTTCCCTAAACAATTATGAGTGACTTATGAGTCTGGTAAATCTTTTTTTATACACTCTTGACTATAACAAACACAACCACACTATTACGCTGATTTGATATTTTGTCCCTGTAATATTCATTTGCTGCTTTTACCCAGCTGTTATGTTAACAGACAACACACAATATTATAACAATGAGATTGCATTCAAGAAACCAACTACTTTCCACCCACAATCAGCAACAGCTGTGCTCAATAAAAGTAACAGTTTGCAAGTGGTCACTAGAGAATACTCCTTCAACACTTACGCCTATTGCAAATTTTGCAAAAGCTCTTAGGATTTTGAGACAGCATATACAGCTCTTTAACATTTTATAAATCTGTATCACCTTAAAAAAAGCCCTACCAGTGCATTTCTACAATCCACTTTCGAAAATAATAACTTTTTTTGATGATTTTTCCAGGATCTCCATGTTTTTCATTCTTGGTCTTAATTACACAGAAGATCCAAAACTAACATAATTCTGTATATGAACATTTCACTAGAAGCAGTGGTAAATATATGTCAAAATCTTTTATATATATATAAGCAAGCAGGAATTTCTAGAACATGCTTGTGCAATTAGGTAATGAAAAAGAGCTTCATATGATTACAACAATTCCTTCATGCTGACAAGAAAGATTGCAGAAACATTCTTAAATAACTTTAGAAATTAAATAGTGATTTTAAAATAGGCATGATACATTTTATTTAAGCAGAATTGCTACAAAATTTAAGGCAAATCAGAATCTATATGTCCTTTAAAATACATTATGTAAAAATTAAAAAGTCCCATGTGATCTCTTTTATAACTATATTGCTTCTGATGCTTTTTCGTGATGGCAATCAATCAAACTTCTTGAGATTATCCCTTTTTACCCAATTTCGAATAAAGAAAATTGATGCCTTATTGTTTTATTCACTATATTTGCAGTTCCAAAAAAAATCTGTATTAACAACTACAGTGGTTGAGTTTCCTCAACCGAAGCCATACTAAATCTAAAACTTTATCTATTCTACTTGCTTCAATTGGTTCTTTTCATCTCAGTCCCCACTAAATATGTCAAGGCTGCAATTCTAAAAATCTATGCAGCTGGGAATTGTGGGAGCTGTAGTCCCAACATGTTTTTACTTAAACAGGTCGGGAAATTAGACTTAGATTTCTCCTTTCAAATGTTAAACAAGCTTGTGTTATAGTACTCACTCCCCCCAAAAGTATATCTTTTACTGTTCGCTTTAAAAATTATCCTTAGGCTAAAACTCCTTTCAAATTCTTATATTGCTATCAACTTTTTTCCAATGTAGGCCACATATGCACGTTAATTTTAATCAGGATTTCCCACATATCATTCCCCCTGCCCCCCCCAGATCTTCTGCGATCTTTTAAATTTATATGTGTCCTATTTAAAGCAGGATAACCAAAGGTGAACATTAAATGTTAGCTGAGCTTTACTATGCTGTTTGTGTCATGTTTTAAATGTGCAATAGAACTGGATTCTCAGATTAATTATATGGAAACTATACTAAACGAAAGTATTTTTTCCTGAGGACAAAATAATGGTATTACCATCACTAATTTCCTGTCTTAACATTTTTTATCCTTGGACTCTTAAAATATCAACTGTCATTTCTAGGTTAGGTTCCAGCAAATCCAAAATGCTGATGTCCAAAATGCATTACTTTGGGGCATCTTCTGTGCCTAAAGCAAAAATATGAAACCTTACAATATATTGTCTATGGAAGAGCTACTGAAGAAATAAACATAAAGTTAATAAAGTATAAATCAGCGTATCATTAATTATTGCTTCTATGGTTATCAACTGTTGAGATGAAACCAGAGGGAGACACTGCTTTTCTACTGCAAAAAAAGTTCATGATATACAGTGTAACATTGTGGGATAGGTACACCGGGTACACACATAACAAGTGTTAATACACATTAGAATAAAGATGTCCTTTATTAGAATAAAGGAAATGCATGTTACTTTTGCCCAGCTTATCATAATACAAGGGAAGCTATATTTTTTAAAGATTATCCCAATTCAGTAGCCTCTTTGAAAGCATTAGCTTTCCTCCCCTCCCTTTCATACAGTTTTTTGAAGGTATTAGGTAAAACTTTATTAGGGTAAGATGTGATGTAAAACACAATATTTCCTCCACTCTAACAGATTATCAAATTTTACAGCCTCGTGCGGTTGTGTTTTAAAAACAACAACCTGTAGACAGTAGCAAGTGATAGGGTTTATTCCCAGTGAAAAACTTCATCTACTGCCCTCCAGGTAAACTAGCTGCTAAATGCACAAGTGTATAGGTCAAGAGGTCAACTTCACTGCAGCACCAAAATCCTTAAATACTGTCTTCAGGACCTCAAATCTTTAATTTCAAATATCCAAATCTCACAATATTGCTATACTTCATTAGATTATGGCATTGTTATATAAAATTGGGAGGATTTCAAGTGAGAAAGCCAAAATCTTGCAATTTCTCTCAAGAATTCAGTGGGTTTAATACAGAAGGAGGATAGTGTAAATAGCTACATAAATACAAATCCAGAAATAATTCAATTTTAATAATTGAAGTATCCTTCTGGCACCTGCACACTTGTATGTGATCAAGGAATGTGTGTCCTGCCTGAAACTATATTCTATTTTGGACTGTGTCACTATGTTCTAAAGAGCTGGCAATTTTACACTCTTTCTTTCCATCAAGCATTGTCTATGGTTAAATTCCTTGTTTGTAATCAAGCACAGACATGGTAAAATTTGTCCCACTATTCCATGGTATTTGTATACCTTAGCACAGCATTTAAATACTTATTGGCAAAGAAATTAGTATAATTAAAAATAGATTGTTCTAAGTAAGCTCCTGTCTAAATGCTTTAGAAGAGTTGAAAAATAAAGCTACACGTAAGCCAAATGTAGACAAAGCAATGTCTATCACTGTGTTTTTCCTGGCTGTGACTGCTTCTTATTTTCCCCTACAGTTACCATCTTTAAGGCTCTCAGCTGGATAGGTATGCATGGGTAGAGGTAGGAGGGGGAGGAGATTCATGGAGCAAGACTCAAAATGACTGGGTATAGTCCACAGGCCATATGTTTCCTGCCCCTTGTAAACAAAAGGAAAGTTAAAGCAAGTTAAAGGCTAAATAATGTACATTTAAGTGTGCTTGGGAATGCCCCTTTGGCAATTCTAATTTGTGTTAGTGATTATGATAATAGAAAAAGGCCACTGCATTTATTGCAAATTAATTAATCTGGAATAAGTGTGTGATCTTATTACTACCCCATGGGATCCTCAGATTTGTAAAAAAATTTGTTACAGATTATTCTGCAAGAAATGTTAATCATCCGATGCTTAGCATAATATTGTCAAATCCTACCACTACACCCCAAATACACCCACACAAACATACACACATATGCACAAACACACAAACACACACAGAGATTGAGTTATAATAAAAAGACTAATTTACCCTTTAGCAAAAGTAGGTGTTGCACTGTGGCGTTTCTTTTTAATCAAAGTAGAGCAAGACAGGGAAAAATTAATGTCAACAACATAATTTACAAAAATAGCCCTCCTGCTCTGTTGCTCACAAATATTTTCAAAAAACAGTGCTCTGCATGCCAACGCTCTGGCTTAGTGTAGTTTACTTTTATGTCATTAACACTCTGTGCCGTAAGCATAACTCAGAGCTAGGGATTCCAACTCAAAATGAACCTCAGTTAAGATTCCAGCTCTCAGTTGTGCTGGCACAAAGATTATTCTCTTCAGTGATAAAGAAGACAATATCCTAGGGAGATTGGAATTAGTCCTACTCTGTGCCATTCAAGCCAAAACACAAGACTTATCAAAAAGCAAGTAATTGCTAGCTAGCTAATGGCTAGGGAAGATACAATACATATTTGGGCTAAGTATATCTTGGCAAATAACAAGCACACACACATACACACACACACACACACACACACACACACACAAAACAAGGAAGAAAGGAAAAAAGGTGGTCATATATATTTTTATGAAAGGGGGAGAGGGAAGAGAGAGAGAGAGAGACAGAGAGAGAGGGAGAGAATTACCTCTTCTGATTGTGATGGGCTGATTCTGGGCATTGGTGATACTTGTGGTGTTTTCAAATGTGTACTATTGCTGTCTGGGATGAGCTCTCTATGGACTGACTGGATGTGGTTTTGAAGTTCACTTTCTGATTCAAATTTTACATTGCAACTTGAACAGCGAGTCTTCAGTCCTCCCTTGCTTTTGTTCTCAACGGAACTCAGATTCTCATTCTGGCCCATGCCTTGTCTATTGCTGCTTGAAGGTATGTTCATACCTGGGCTACCACTTTTGCTGAGATTAACACAAATGGCACACAGCCCATATGGTAAACCGTTAATGTCAAGTTTTACCAAGTCCTGTTTTGAGCGAAATTCTTTCAGACAAGAAGCACATTTGTACAATTTCTGAAGATGCTGTATTCGCCCTGTAGTCTGCACTGCGGCACTGGTGCTTGTCTTTTGCATGTGGAACGTCCCGTGGATCTTCAGCTCCAAAGTAGAAGTCACCGTCTGCATGCAAACCACACATCGGAATCCTGTTAAGGAGTTTCGCAAGTCAGGATGCATCTGACAATGCTCCAAGAATTCTTCCTCACTCTGGAGTGGCATTTTGCAAATCCTGCAGTTTCCTGTATCAAGGCTCTTACTGTGTGTGACCTTATGTTCAGTGAGAGTCAGAAGCGATGGGAATCTCTCGCCACATATTGGGCACATATAGTGTTTCACTGGACCCAAATGTGTCTGCATATGTTCACGAAGCCCATTTTCAGAGAAAAATGTTCGCGAGCACACATTACACTTGTAGTTCCCTTTTATCAGCTCTGCCTTTTTCTTTATGATGGCACTTTCCCCAGGTCGGATATTGTGATCCCGAAGTTGGTGGTTTTGCAAGAGAGACTCCATTGTGTAGGCTGCTCCACAAATGTCACATCCATACATAGGTTCAGATGTATCAACGTCTTCTTCACTTCCATCATGGCTGTTGTGGGATTCCTGGCTGTTGGTCAGCAATGTCTGTAGCTCTACTTCTTCCTTCTGAACTGGTTCAGATGCTCCGTTGGTTCCACAATTGGGAGTTTTTGTTTCAAAAACGCAATGCTTCTCCCTCAAGTGTTTTTCCAGCAATATGATAGCATGAAATGCTTTGCTGCAGAACTTGCAGTTGTATTTTTTGCTGTGTGTTGTGATATGGCACTGGAGTTCCACTTCCGTACCAAAAGACTCACCACAAAAAATACACTTGTGTACTTTGCCTTGATTCTCCAAATGATTGTGCTTAACATGGAGCTGCAGGTCTGTCTCATTGCGGAAATCCCAGTTGCAAGATGTACACCTGTACACCTTCTTCTCATTGCTATGCTTCACAGCCAGATGAAGCTGAATGGAAACTTTGGAGTCAAAGACCTCTTGACACAATGTACAACGGAAAAACACAAAGGTGTGCATGTCAAGTAAGTGCTTCTGCAAGTCATCCACGGAAGTAAACTGTTTATCACAACTTTCACAGATGTAGTATGTGGAGGTTATCATGAAATGGATCGTCACGTGCTTCAGCAGGGACTCTTGGTTTGGAAACTCCTTATTGCACTGAGGGCAAGTCAATTTGGGCAGGACAGTGTCAAGATGTGTTTTTAAATGAGTCTGAAAACCATCCAGGGAGGTGTATTTAGCACCACACTGATTGCAGATGTACTCACCAGCCGAGCGTGGGGGAGCACCACCAACAGCCTGCATCATCTTTAATGATGTCTGTTCTATAGTAACTGGAGACAACGGGCTCATGGCTCTAGATTTCTTCCCATTATGAATGTAATTTAGTGCTAATGGAATGTTCTTATGGTTCTCCTTTATATGCTTATTCAGTTTAAGAACACTATTAAATATTGGAGAATTTGTGCAGTAAGAGCAAGAATATACTTCAACGACTGGGTCTTTAGGGGTACCTAATACAGGAGAACCAAAACGAGAACTGCTAAGATCACAATGGACTTGTCTAATATGCTCTTCCAAGGAAGAATCAGTAAGAAACCCCATATAACAATGAGGACAAAAGAATGCATTACTGTCTTTAGCAGCTGGATTTCCAAATCCATGAGTACATCGAATATGTTCCTGAAGAGAGTTGAGGTCATTGAAAACTTCTGAGCAGAAGTTACACTGGTAGATCATAGAAGGCATGGTAGAGACGATCAGTGCGGGATCTGGCGCTTCATGTATTTGTTTCAGATGCTCATTTAGGTTGTAAAGTGAAGGTAACACTTCTAGACAATACTGACAAATATGGGCTTGCTCAGGTTTATCTAAATGCATAGTTTTCAAATGTATTTGCAGTACTGCAAGGCTTGAAAATAACTGCTTGTTGCAATAAATGCAACTATAAGCAACCTTGGCTTGTTTATTTGAAGGCCCAGTGATATCTGCCACCTGCTGGGCTGTCCGTTTTCTTCCACGTCCTTTTGTGATTGGGGGAACTGCTTCAACCATAGTTGAGCTATCTACTGAGAGATTTGAATCTGGAGTGGTGCTAGAGACTGAGGTGTAACCAACTGTCACTAAAGAGGGGCTATTACTATGGTTGCATGATTCTGGCTGCTGGTGACTATCCATGTGGCTATAGAGCTCTTCGACAGTATGGAAGTTCTCTGAGCAAATACTGCACATATGTTTCTTTTCCATTCCATTATGAGCCTGCTCCATGTGATTTACTAGTGAACTTTCCTCTACAAAGAGTTCATGGCAGTAAACACACTGAAGAGCAGCTCGGTCTTCATTTGGGGAACACTCTGGGTGGCATTCTGCTATGTGTTTCTGAAGATCTTCTGGAAAATCGAAACCTTCTTCACATTGACTGCATTTCTGAGTGTCCTTCATTTTCCAATCCTCCATCCGGGAGGCAGATTGAGAACTATCTTTGTTTCTCTCATGAACTTGCATGTGTCCATGAAGTGAACTAGAGGAGAGAAATCCACGTCGGCAAATGGCACACTTATATGGCTTGTTAGAGGTATGAGTCTTCAAATGAATTTTAAGGTGATCACTTCTTGAAAATGCTGCATCACATTCACTACAGTGGTACTTCTTATCTCCTGTGTGAAGTTTAATATGGCGATCTCGGCTCCGTTTATGTTTGAAGAGGCGGCTGCAATAGGTGCACTTGAAAGGGAGCTTGTCGCTGTGACTTTGCTCGTGGTGCTTTAGATAGCTGAGGCGGCTAAAAGACTTGTCACAAAACTGGCATGGGTAGGGCAATCCTGGGCCACCTTCTTCTTCACCAAAGTCACAACCATCTCCATGGCTTGGGGAAGTCTGATCTTTACTAGAGGGTGAAGAAGCTGGCCATGAGCAGGAAGGATCATCTTCGATGTCTACTCCATCTGAAAAAGGAAGAAAGAGGGGAAAGGGAAACAAATGTTTAAAGGCTTCTTGTTCAGATAGCATTTAACATTAGTACATGTGCATTTAATCAGAGATTAATTGATAAAGATGTATTTATTTATTTTTTATTTTATTAAATTTTTATACGGCCCTTCTCCTACTAGACTCAGGACAGTGCACAGCCTAGAATAAAAAACATCCCAATATAAAATTTTAAATTTTAAAAGAATTAAACAAATTTTGGCACAAAATTTAAAACCTCCCGACTAAAATCCATTTACAATTAAAAATCTCTAAAGGGGGGGGGGATTACGCCAGCCCAGCTTGATGAAATAGAAAAGTTTTGAGGGCACGGCGAAAAGAACGGAGATCTGTTATCCTATGTATCTCCAGGGGCAGGTCGTTCCAAAGGGCAGGTGCTGCCACAGAGAAGGCCCTCCCCCTGGGGTCACCAGCCGACATTGCCTGGCTGACAGCACTCTGAGGAGTCCCTCTCTGTGGGAGTGAACTGGCCGGTGGGAGGCTATCGGCGGCAGAAGGCGGTCCCGTAAGTACCCAGGCCCTATGCCATGGAGCGCTTTAAAGGTGGTGACCAACACCTTGAAGCGCACCCGGAAGACCACCAGGAGCCAATGCAGCTTGCGTAGGAGGGGTGTCACATGGGAGTGCCCCATCGCTCCCATAATCCCCCGCGCGGCCGCATTCTGCACCATTGGAGCCTCCGGGTGCTCCTCAAGGGGAGCCCCATGTAGAGAGCATTGCAGTAGTCCAGGCGCGAAGTGATGAGTGACTGAGTGACTGTGCCTAAGGAGTCCTGATCCAGAAAGGGACGCAACTGGCAAATCAGGAGAACCTGATGAAAAGCCCCACTGGCCACGGCCGTCATATGCTCTTCTAAAGACAGCCGTGCATCCAGGAGGACGCCCAAGTTGCGAGCCCTCTCTGTGGGGGGCAGTAACTCACCCCCAATAGCCAGCGATGGCACCAGCTGGCTATATCGGGACGCCGGAAGCCACAGCCACTCTGTCTTGGAAGGGTTGAGTCGAAGCCTGTTTCTCCCCATCCAGACCCGCACGGCCTCTAGGCATCGGGACATCACTTCAAGGGCACCGTTGGGATGGCCTGGAGTGGAGATGTACAGCTGAGTATCGTCAGCGTACTGATGGAACTCCACCCCAAAACCACGAATGATCTCGCCCAGCGGCTTCACATAAATGTTGAACAGAAGGGGTGAGAGGACCAACCCCTGCGGCACCCCACAAACAAGGCGCCTCGGGGTCGACCTCTGCCCCTCTGCCAACACCAACTGTTACCGGTCAGAGAGATAGGAGGAGAACCACCGAAGGACAGTGCCCCCACCCCCAACCCCTCCAACTGGCGCAGCATGATACCATGGTCGATGGTATCAAAAGCCACTGAGAGCTCTAACAACCCCTATCCCGAGCCCTCCAGAGATCATCCACCAACGCGACCAATGCCGTTTCTGTGCTGTGCCCAGGCCTGAAGCCGGACATGTAATGCTATGTAATATGAATGTGTTACTTTTTCACTCCCATATCTATTTGCATTTTATACACTACTATTTTAAATCAGATTATAAAGCTAGGAATAATTATAAGGAGTTCTCTTCTTGATTTTTTTTATCATTTAGTTACTTAAGGTGCATCATATATAGTCAACTTTATTAAAATGCAGATTTAAAATATTTAAAGTATCTTTTGTATCCCCTAAGAAATGATTTGCAAAACACGAGAGTATCTGAACAGTTCATTATATAACCAAGAGGCGCTACTGCAAACATGCTCCCACGGGGGATTTGTTCTTCCGTTCATTATATAAAAATAGATATATATTTAAAAATGAAGTTAATTTAGGTGTCAAACTCTTAATCGTAAAAGGGTAATTGAATTTCCTATGTTTTAAAGAAATACGTAAGAATAAGTTTTGAATGCAATATGTTTTGAAACAGCAAACCATGATACAGCAAATTTGATATATAGAAAGAAACATCAACAATCATACTGGTAAATATTTCTTTAAAGTTTGAAAACAAATACTACTTCATCAAACATTTCTTTGAGCATCAAAAATTAAGAGTCTCCTTTGGCTGTAACATAGAATTAGAAAAACTGCAAAATTTATGGGAAAGGAACTATAGATTAACAATGGCAACTTCTTATAAAGAGAATTTAAATAAAATGTTTTATAGATGGCATTTACCACCTGCTGTCTTAGCTAAAATGTTTAAAAATATGTCTAGCATATTTGGAAATGTAATCAAAAGACGGGCACATTTTATCATATGTGGTGGACTTGTGCTAAAACAAAAAAAATAAGCAAAAATACACAGATGGCTAGAAAAGATAATAGGGAAACATGTAGATATTAAACCTGAACTGGAGATGATACCAGAAAAAATTGATAAGAAAAGTATGAATTTAGTATTACATGTCTTAACAGCAGCGAGGATTATCTTCATACAATATTGGAAAGATGAAGAAACACCGCAAGATGAAGAGATAATTAAGAAGATACTAAACTGTGCAGAAATGGATAGACTTACATTGAAAATTAAACAGAAAGAAGACACAGAATATTATCAACCATGGAACTGATTTTACCAGTGATTGGGTGGTAAGTAAGAATGGAATCTGTATTGTAAAGCAAATTAAATACCCAGTCAACACAATGTTGATTAAGCACTAAGAAATGTAATTAATAGAAAATTAATAAAATTTATTTTTTAAAAAATCAAGAGTTTCCATACTTATCATTTTTAAAAATGAAATGGATCTTTATCAAAATGTAGTGGTTTCTATATAATATGTAGCCCAAGATACAAGTCTGTGCTTTTTTAATATATAAAAGGAGGAAAGGGGTGAAATGCTCCCGGTTTGGACTGGATCGCCTGATCCGGTAGCGATGGAGGTGAGTGGTTTGGAGAACCAGTAGCAAAAATCCCTGCCCCCCCAATGCCCAGCTGACCCACACAATCATCAGAGGCTTTTTTTTCTTAATTTTTAAAAGCATTTTTTCAACAACCTCTTGGGCTTGAAAAAATATTTTTAAAAATTAAAAAAAAAGCCTCTGATGATCGGGCGGATCAGCTGGGATCGTCAGAGGCTTTTAGAAGCATTTTTTCTACAACCTCTTCGGCCGAAGAGGTTGTAGAAAAAGTGCTTTTAAAAGGCTGACGATCCCAGCTGACTTGCCTGATCGGCAGAGGCTTTTTTTCTTTTAAAAACATTTTTTCTACAACTTCTTCAGCCGAAGAGGTTGTAGAAAAAATGCTTCTAAAATGCTCTGATGATCCCAGCTGAGTTGCCTGATCATCAGAGGCTTTTAAAAGCATTTTTTAACAACCTCTTCGGCCGAGGTTGTACCATTTAAAATGGTTAACCATTTTAAAAATGGTTTTAAAAGTCAAAAAAAAAAGTTGGCCACACCCACCCAGTCACATTAACCCCCCCCCACAAAGCCACGCCCACAGAACCAGTTGTAACAAATTTTAGATTTCACCACTGGTTTAAAACTTCAAAATTATCAAAAAGAAGCAATTATACTTTCAGCATCTCTGGGATCTTAAAGAAAGCTGAATCATTTGAGAAGGAAATGTAGGAGATTACTAAAATGAACCCGAAGGAGGGGTCAAGTGCATCATCAGTTTGGAGTCCCTTCATACCCAAAGTAATCTAAATCCAGCCCTCCTTGAATTCCGTTGACTCTTATATACCACCAATTTCCCCATTATAATTCAAATTCTTGTTTAAAGGTAACTTGGAATAAATTTGTACCCATTTTGGACCTAACCCTGGCTCTCGATTTCTTGTGCCTGACAGGAAAGGAAGAAGAAAGAAAAGGAAAATTATTTTGAGCTCCTAGCAGTTTACAATACAGAGAGGTAGCTTGGTGCCCTCCAGATGTTTTGAATTAGAACTCCCATAAAATCCATATACAAAGACTACAATAGAGCAGGTGCTTTGAATAGTAACATCTGGAAGTACTGGGTCATCAACTCTTTCCCTTACTCCAAATTAGACTGGAATACGATAATTATCTAGACTGCAATATTTTAATAAAATAAAGTACTGGGAGAAGTTTCAAGAGATACAGAAAAGAAAACAGTGAATTTTCTCTACTTCTTATAAATACATAAAATTTTGACTTTCTTTGAGCTCCTATTCCAGGCTATCTAGGCCTTTCCTAAAAGGCACTTCTGAAGCAGGCTGCAGTATTTGTATTCAAACAATTTGGTAGTTACTAAATGTATGTCTACCTAATAATGAATAGGTATTAGATTTATGGAGTCATCCCGGGTTAAGTGAAAAGAGTGAATTGCACAAAAGCATAATATTTCCGTGTATTTTGTACTTTTAAAGTTCAAGAGGTTGCCCACCATTTCTTCCTTTCTGCAAAAAACCATACTGGCTTAACTTCCTTAATAAAACAGAGCCGAACATTTAAATGACCATAGACAAAGCAACTTGAAAAAAAACCTTGGAAACAGGAACAAATGATAAATTATTATGATAAAAGCTGAAAGATTTATAAGTAACAAAGAAAAAACAAGCAAGGAGACAAACCAGTTAGTCACTTCAACTATTTAGCCATTATACTAAGTCATTTATGGAATTCAGACTTAACCTATAAAATAAATGCCATAGTCATTGGCCTTTCCAGTTGATGTGACCAGATAGAAGTCTAGTATTGAATTTTACTCTCCACCAACTGCAGAATTTCTGAGATTTATAGCCTTGTAGCTTGTTTTGCCGAATGTTGCCAGCAGGAAAGTCCTGGTAAGGTTCTTATGCTAGCAGAATATATGTACTTGTACCAGAGAATTGCACACTGGTACCAATATGATCCTGTTTGCGGAACTACTTACAAACAGAACAATACTTAACACCATATTCTATGATGTCCTGAACCAATTTCTTAATAAAGGTAAGAATGTTCTCAACTGTGGATTCAAAGACAATTTATCTCAAAGTTTAAGATT